ATCTACATCGGCAGACATGGATGCACTTGACATTGCAGAAAGTCAGCATAAAGCTAAATGGAGATCAATAAGTCACAAGGCCTTAAATGTAATGGCCTTCTAATATGGATTTTGGATTCGCTCTATATATGCTGATTAGATTGACCTTAGCAGATATGGATACATAAAACGACATGAGCTAAGTCCTAAAATATGGACCGATTTAGAGATTATGTTTTCGATATATGCGTCACTTAAGATGTCTAAAGCCTACAGTCATGATCATAAGGTCGAAAATTGTTATTTATTTGCACAAGCTCTGATTAGAAACTTACAACTATTTACTTATGCCGATAAAATATATATTGATGGGATCGAACTAGGTAAAAGTCTAAAAACACAAAAGTTTATATTTATGCTGATAAAATCTGTATTAATATATTGTAGATTTATTAATTTTTAAATAGATTAGGATATAACACCTACATATATTTATTTTACATATTTTAACTGATACTACCTTATAATTAGCTAAGGTGTTATATTGTGTTATGTTATTTGAATTTTTAACGGTTTTACTGGTTGTGCTCTATTAATTGACCGATAAAGGATTAGGCATTGGATTTGTTGTGTCCGGCCCTACAGCTCACTTTCGTTTGTGGAAGTATTTATGCACCTTATGTTTCATTTATGTTGTATTAGATTAAATTTCGATTATCCATGGATGTTGGCTAGACAGATTTGTGTGCATTCCTCCACTTTTAAATTCTCCATTCTTAAATTTTAGCATGTGTAACGTTTTATTTCGATACTCGTTTACTTTTTGGAGAAGCTTTAAAGTGTTGTCACGAATAAATACTGCTATTCTTTGATCTATTTGTGAATCACCATTTCCGACAAAATCACTGTACGTTCAGAGGATCATTCTGATTGTCACGTTCTGTACTGTTTGTAATTATTTGATCGTAGTATTTGATGCTTTTCTAAATTTTAAACATCCACATATAGTATCATCGGTCTTATTATCAGCTTATATGCTGTATTTAATTTTTGACGCTAGAGTGCACTGTGACTGATAATATATTCTTTCTACATTTTATGTGTCGTTCGTTACGTTAATTTTGTTTTAAGTCAGGATTATCAAAATCGTTCCTTTTAATTTGTATTTTACATTAATAATATATTTGCATTATGTTATATTGTAATATACATATTATATTAATATACTGTATATATTACAATTGCCACTTCCAGGTTAACATAGCCCACCTATATAAAATTAGATCCTCAGAACTCTTCAAGAGAGACCGCGTGAACACTGCAAGATTTACTGTAGTTCTCTCTGGTCATTGGTGTTTAGGAACCCATGCAGAGATACTGTGTATTCCTTATAATCCTGACTGCAGAAGTTGTGGAAACCCGCAGGAAAAGGAAACCATAATACACTTTCTCTGTAAATGTCCGGCTTCGGAGTTCAGAAGAAGTAGGTTTTTAGGAAGATATTTCTTTGACAGTCGATCAGACTGTTCATAGGTGAAGACGAGAGACTTGTTAAATTATCTGAATTCGACGGGATGGATTTAATCTCTACTCTTTTATATTAAGGGTTCTTGCGAGGAATATGGTAACAAAACGGCACAAAATCGCTTGTTTAGGAACATGGAAGTTATTCAATGATCTGCCACTGCAACCAATCAACCATATATTACCAATAATATATATATGATTTATATTATATATTATCAGTTTAAAAATATTAATTAGTGTATTAAATTTTACTCCATTTTATTATTACTACAAATCTATTTGGTGGCAATTTTCTAATTCTATGAAAAAATTTCTTAATGAAGAAAGTGTTATTCTTGGTTCTTAAGTATTGTATAGATGTTGTCTAAAAAACTGGGATTTATTGCCTATAAATAATTTCTTTAGACATGTTGAATTGTAAATCGTGTGGATATCAATTAAATATTTTTAAGCAATAAAGTAAATAAAAATTAAGTTATGACCAGAATGAAAGGCATAATGTTAATGTTTCTTGGGAATTGTTGACGAATCCATGAAAACTTCAAAAGGAAAAATTCCGCAGTGATTTATGCAAAATACTGAGGAAAATGGAAAATCAACCAAAAATTTCGATTGCGTGAGTTTGGCTAATTTATGGAAATGCTATGCGACAGATGAGGTGTTAATTTGGACTGAGTCAGCAGTGTTAGAGTGACTAAGTCAGGATGGACAGTCAGCAGATCTATTTACACTATTTTGATTAAACGCAAAACAAAAACTAAAATGTTTTCGTAGTCAAAATTTTTAAATGTAGAATTTATGCTGAGATAAAATAAATTTCTTTAATTGCCGCCACATTGATAGCGGACTTCATAGAAGAACCGAGTGCATAGGGGGGACGTTGGATTAAGAGTAAAACAAAGTCTTAGTCGATGATCACTAGTCGATTTCTCTGGTCAATAATTATAAAAATTTTCATTAAATAAGGTATTTTATAACGAAAAAAAAAAAATAGGGAGGAAAGTTTAAGAACTTTGAAAAAATATTTAGAGTAAGAAAACAATAATATTTTAATTGTGCAAACAAATTGAAGCGAAAGAATGGAAAATTTGCTAAATTGTGCAAAATTAATTTTCTTAAGCATATGCAAATATTTAATAAATTGGCCGATGGAAGCTTCTAATTTAAAGACTTGTTTATTGCGATATCATTTGGGCAGCAATGAAGCAGGCTTTATTAATGCCCATTGCGCATTTCGGGTGAATGCTTAACTATAGAGATATGACTGGCGCTTTCCTCTTAGAAGAACCATCGTATAAATTCGTATATCTTGCATGTTTGACTTAATAAATTTCAGATATAATATGAATTTCTCATTGAACCTTGACTTAAGCCCAAAATATTGGAGAATAACTCAATTTATATTATTCTAATTAAGATCACCTTTAATTTTAGCACCACACCTTTACTTTCGAATATCTAATTACACTAAGTGATTAAGTGGAATATAATTATATTTATTCTATTTATGTGGAAGAGATAGATTCATTTGATTTATAGTGAGTGATTTAGGATTCAATGCATCATATTTTACTCATTGGGAATGAACGAAGACAACCAAGAGTTCATATACAAAATTAAAATTTTGGAGATTAGGAACCTTGCACCTACCTACTCACTTGGCTTTGCAACCTCTAATTGTTTCCAATTTTAACAGTAAAGTCATTAAAATTCTAAATAGACAAAGTTTAATTGAAAAAAAAATTAAAATTCTATTAAAACAGTTCGAGTGGATTGTTGATCCAACAGAACCGCCTAGGCCATTTGTGATACCGCATGAAAAAAAATCGAATAAAATCGGTTTAAAAACGTTTAAAAAACGGTTCAATAAAGTCTAAGTTGTCATTTAGGGATAGATCAGAAATATTTGTTCTTTATTGCTAACTAAAGCATATTTAATCTGTGTTTACGATGGGTACTGACAAAACAGCAGTAAAATATCATAATCTTCCTTACCGTTTTGAATCATTGAAAGGAATATTTCATTTTCAGTAAACCAGTAATGAGAATGATGCGTTTATGATGCATTTCAATGAGATTGCTTAAGCGTTTCTTATTGAAGAGGAGTCA